CTTGGTCCTGGAACGGGTGATAAACCCCTAATTCAATTCTTTGATTAAAGAATGGAAATATATATATATATATATATATATATATATATATATATGAAAAGAAACAGTCTTTACTCTTTACAGGCAAGAGCAAAAGGCATACCTGCACATCTGCTCTCTGTAACTTCTTTCTCATACAATCTCTTTTGTAGCAATGTTGTCCCAGGAAACATCATCAAGTTGATGTTGTTCAACTGTTCTTTCTCTTTATCCTCCATTGGTTTAAATCCGAAACCCAATGTCCAAGTATCCAATAAATTTGGAATTGCAGCTACAACCAGTTTCTCAACCTTGAATGACTTCAGCATCTATGAGGGTAAAAGCAAGTACAAGGATTGAAGTAAAATACCTAAGAAGCCTGTAATCAATGTAACTTGCTGGTTTCGAACACAAAGTTCAATCTGTGCTCGTGAACAAAAATGATAAAAACTCAATGATAAGATGCATGACTTTTTTCTTTCCTTTATAAATTTAATGAGATCTCTCCTTTTTCCCCTGTTGAACAAAATGGAACCTCAAGCAATAATGAAGAGAAAGGCCAGATGAAATCAAGTCATGCGGTATTTGGTCAAACTTTCAATGGTGCCATTCAAGTGGACCTCCACTATAGTGTTTGTTTCATGCCAATGTATGGTTTTAGGTGATTCTCCCACTAAGCATGCATTTAGTTATCTTTAAGTACCAAGACTTGAAGACAACCATTGAAAAAGTCTTCAGAACTTTTGAGTGATATCCACCACTATGACCACCCAGACACATTTACTCTATTGTTGTGAAAATATAAGTATTTACAATTAAAATACCTCTTCAATAGCACTTATAAGGCGTCGACACATTCCCTGTCGGCGACGTTCACTTGAAGTTGCAATAAGAGGCATCTCTGCAACTGTTACTCCATGGACCCTGCATAAAATCAAGGACTAAATTAGACTTGGATTCCTTTGGATTAGTCAACCAGACCAAGATCCATAACAATATCAAGTAAGGAGAAAACCAAAAAGGTTAACATCTAAAATAGAGTTGCAAGACCATGTTGTGGTTTAAATTCAGTATTTCTATAGTCATTTATATCCTTTATTCACCCTCTTATTTAATGAGATATTTACCATTTATCAAAAAAATAAAAAGAGTATGAAGGTCTACCTGCCAGTCAACAAAATTGGATTAAAAAAACCTGCCAATTTTATCATTCTGGCTGTTAACCCTTTGTTCCAATTAGTAGTCAAGTCCTTGGTGCTCAAACCATTAGGAACATATGCAGCTACTAAAAATTGTGGCCAAGCCTTCATCAAAAGGAAAGAACAAAGGGAAAAAAAAAATACTTGTGCACAGAATCTTGAAGCTCTTAAAGCCAAGGCAGAGTTTTATGAGAATGCCTCCTTTTACAGTTTATTGGAATAGGAAACAAAATGATATTATTTTTTTATTCTAATTCTCAAATCTCAAAGAGTTCAAGGCATGTATGTTGTTCAAAGTACTATTATCATTGTAAGGGCAATTGAGCCATTCGACTAATTAGGATGGGGGAGGGTGTTGTAATTTTATGTGCTCTAATCTAAATACAAGTGCAAGGGCTACACATGACACTTTTTGGTAGCCCATTCTTCTCTCCTAATTCTTTTTTTTTTCATTTCTAATCTCATACAAAACATCAAGAAACTTGAAAAGTCATTTCAATGACCTCTTGCCAAAACAAAACTTTGTAATTAGAGGACAGAATCATTTAAGCAGTGAAGTTTTGAAGGTAGTTCCATAGGTGATGCAATGCAAATCAGTCTGGTGTGGGTAGAGTTTCAGGGGCATTATGGATAGATTATTCTTGTATTCATGGGACTCAAAGCTTATGGTGGTTTGGTTAAACCAAAATCAACTCTCTTGCAAGGCCTAATGCTTATATCGCATTGAGTCTGTAGTGGATAGAAGTGGAAGGAGATTCTAAGGTCATATTCGTTTCATGACCACCTTCCAAGAAAGCCTTGCACAGTTCATCTCATTATTCATTTCCTATCTAGCATAGCTTATGCCTTGTTGGCCCTCTTTTTCCACATGGAGGGCCTGAGCAATGTATTCTTATCTTCTGGAATATGTAGTATTTATTTCTCCACATGGAGGAAAGTAATTAGTTTCAAGGTATCCATTGATTAACCTACATACTTCTCAATGAACAAACCATCAAAGCTAAAAACTATGCAAGTCCTTATCCAATTAAAGAAGTACCTGATTGATGCTACAGATATGAGCTCATCATCCTTCTCTAACACCACAGCATAAAATCCTTCATAATTCAAACGCGCAAAATTTGATCTGAAAATTAAGAAATGGTTTAATATTGTTTGCAACTTTAGATGCTAGCAGAAAAAGCCAAAAAAAAAAAAGTATAGATCTAAAAGAACTAAAACAAAAGTTCCAGATTCTTGAAAATAACAGACAATCTAACATTTTAAGAATGTAACTAAGGATTTGCAACATATACACCTGCACTATAACCAGTACGGTTTTCTTTAAAGTTCCATTTTTTTTTTTTTTTTTTTGGGGGGGGGGGGCAGGAAGAGGAGGGGAGGTCTTACTCTTACAGAAAATAATTTGCACTATCCTTTGCTAGATTAGCAAGAGGTACAAGTGTGAGATGGGAAGACTGCTCAAGCTGCCACGACTAATGATAAGGAAAAGGACGGCGCACTGGAAAATCAAGATTGCCAAGATTGTTAGAGGTTGCTTCAGCTTTTCTAAAGGAACCAACTACTACTACTTATCAGAATAATGGAGAAGGGAAATTGTTGGGTAGAATAAAATAGTTGCAGGAGCTGGAGATACCCGAAAGGTGCTAAACTAGTTGTAATGGAGAAAAGAGGGTTGTGACTAACAGGATTGCAAATGGATGCTAGCTTTTTCTTCCCATTAAAACTGGTTATAAATCATTGGAGTTTCAAAGACTTTGAACAGATGTTTTGCTGGACAGTTATGTATAGAACAGAAATGTTGGCCAGCTTTCCAGACCCATGCTCTCCGGGTGGACCTGTCTTGCAACTTCATAGGCGCCATGAATGTTGACAGAAGGTAGAAATCGACCTATTAAATAAAAAGGTAGAGACCCTTTTATTAGCATTTTGAATATGTGAAAGGCAGGTCTAACTTATTTCCAGGATCTCTCAATGCTTGAGCCTTTTCTTTTCTCTTCCTTTTTTCCCATGGCAATAGGATATTGTGGTGAGTTGATTTTTTCTATTTATAATTTTATACTTTTGTTAGAATGTTAGAGTGATGTTCGGCTGATAAGAGTTCTTATTAGCCCATTCTTATGTGTAACTTATCTTGTAACTGGGCTTGTGTTAATGGGCCTAATCCTGTTTAATGATTTAAGTCATCTGGGTGTCCCATCACTAATCAGGGGCATCCCAGTAATTTCTT